CCCCCCCCCCCTGCCCCACCCCCGGGGCAAACGCTTTCAGGGATAATGTGGAAGTTTTGGAGTGTTGTCAGGCGTGTGCAACAGGTCGGCTTTTATCGGTGCCCCAAGAAGCAAATGATTCTTCGGAGAGATATTTGAAATTGTGCTGGTTTTGCCGCCCGCGGTGCAACGTCATTTGTTGTTTACTCCTCTTTGTCAACTGGTCATCGGCTCCGGCCCACCGTTGTAGCTCATACGCCTGCAATTGTCTTCGGTGTTGCCTCTCGAATGTGGAAGAATCGCTCTGCGGTGCGTGCTTTCCATTAAAGTGCGCGAAAGCTTTGCGGAGCTCCTTTGTGTGTAATCAACAAGCGCGTCACAGCGGTTACTTGGATATCCACGTCTGGGAGACGGTAAAACGTTCTGGTATTTTGATTCTACGGAAAGACGTAATGCGGAGGAAATACTCTTGAATGGTACTCTGATAGCAGTCTCTGCACGGCTGATTCCTGTCAACCTTTGAGCTAGAGCACCGGGGCAAGCAGCTTCCGTATGCATCGTGAATGCGCAGAGACAGGGATGTTATCCACCAACCTGAACGGGGGAAAGCTATTTTCTTTTCTTTTTCCTGCATGTGTTTTTCGCGAGGCACCACTTCTCTGGGAAACGCGATGTAATGTCCACTCGCTCTGCGCAGCAGAAATCAACATGATGGAAGGAAGCAGGATGGGAATTGCTGTTTTGAAGTTGGTTAAATTGTTACGACTTCGCCGCCGCTGCTGTATGTGACGTCTGTGGGCGCATAATTAGTGGTTGAAGGACTTCCTTAACTATAATAATACCATCGTTGAGGTCTTGGACTGCTGTCAAAGCTCATTGGTCGTGAAACCCTTCGTTTCCTCGCGTACGTATCTCGGTTTTGCGGAGATTCGAGTATATGTACCTGTACCTCTTGACCGATAGCGCCTGTTTGCGGCCTGTGCCACTTATTCATCGGGTGAGACTGTTTTGGTGATGTATTAACTTCACCACGAGAGGTTGACGACCGTCCTTCACATGGACGAAGGAGGGAGAGCTCGAGGGGCCCCGTGAATCATCGCGGTGCCCCCTACCAAACGGCAATTTTACCAGTCTGTGTGGCACCAAATCATCCAGCACATCTATCCAACACCAATGTTCGCAGACCCACGAACAGCGCCTTGCTCGCAACTCGTTGTCGGCACTACGTAGAGTAGAAGTAGGTGAACCATTGTGCTCTTGGCACAGGAGCAAGAGCGCCCCTCGCTGTCAACTCGCCATCAATATTAATCAGAACGGGTATTCTTCCCGTGTGTATTTATTTTTCCCAATAGTAGCGAAGCTTTTTCAAGTATGCGAGACATGTAGTACTTCGTAATACATTGTGCGTTTGGGTGTCCTGGTGCATCACTGCTGCTTTCTTGCCGAAGGATATGTAGCAGCTGTTTGGTGTCCCGTTGAATCGCGTGCGTACCCCCACCTAAAGAATCAAAGATGCGCGCTTCAGCTGGGCTGCTGCCTTCTCCTTCAATCCACACCATGGTTTTCGTGCCTTTTCTGTTCCTCGCCAGAGCACAAGGCGTACTTCGCTGTGCTGGCGGTGCTGTTCCAGCCAGCGGCCTGCCAGGATGCATCTCCGGAGATGCTTGACGCGCGACGAGATATCCTGAGACGCCTTAAGAAGGAGCTGCACATCCCGGACTCGGTATCGGATGCCGTTCACGGGTGAGAAAAAGAGAACGTCCGTTTCAGTGCTGTTGCATGGAGTATGTTCTTGGAACGGTCCGATAACTTGCCGTTTTGTGTGCCGTTACGAATCCCCCATGCATGTAAGCGCGGTGTGTGTGCTGTTGGGTGTTCGTCTCTCCAAAAAGTATTTCCCCGATTTTTCTTGCATAGACTACATCGACTGCTAGTTGCTTGCTGTGACTAAGTGTGCATGTGTGCCCCCCCTTCTTTTTGCCTTTTTTCACGATTTCATGGCGTTCAGCGAGAAAGTGGCCGTATGGTGTTGGCTACATCGGCCAAGTAAAGTCAATTCAGTGTGGGCGGGAAAACGAGAACCAAAACCCTTTCCAGCGGATGTGAGGGCGAGACCTTGCCTCAAAGGAGACGCAAAGGTCAAGCTACTAGTTGGAATGATGCAACCAGCCTGCTCTTTGCTATGCCTTGTGTGTGCGTGTGTTCGCGTGCAACGTGTACCGTGTCTATTGTATTTTGCTACTTCCAGGGCGCTCAAGTCCGACAAGCCGCTGCAATGGCAGAGATCTCTAGTCGCGCTTCAGGGCAAGGTGAAGGCAAAGCTGCCCGAGCACGCTCCGCTCATGTTAGGTGAGACCAGCTGTAAGAAGGGACACAAGTTGTTTGGGTTGGATCGATGGTCGGTTGGACCGAGAACCCCCCGAGGATCACCTTGCCGTGTGTCTTTCTAGATTTGATGCTTCGTGCGAGGAAGGTTTCGGTTGGTTTCCTCAAGCTTTACCCACCTGCCACATAGCAAGGCCTGCAATGAATGCGCGACGATGTCGAACGCCAAAGGCTATCATTTCGGCGTGGCAGTTGGTGTGCTCTGTGCGGTAAATCGGCATGTACTCTGTTTTGTGTTGAGGCAGACATGTGGGCCCACCGAGGGTCAAGGCCCTTAGGATTTTGCTCTGGAGCCACTGTTGTTCGTCGCAGCATTGTCGACATAGCCGTCCTGTAGTGTGCAGCATCTTTTCAATTTCCCCAAAATATTCAAGACGAGCCAGAGCTACGACGCGGATAGAAGTGCGGTGGTTTCCTTCCGCTATCCCCGCTTATGCCGGTGTCGGTGGCGATGGTTCTTCATCCCAGCGCACATCATTTTCGTGATTTTGCAGGAAACTTGGAGCTCTGTGTGGGTGCAGACGTGGACGTCAAAGACTATCAGAAGAACTGGCTGCCGGGCAAGATCAACGGTCTTCAGGGCTCCTCGGTAAGAAAAGGGTGCCTTTTCTAACATCCGCTACCTCTCTCTCACTGTTTGCTGTGCTCCACTTTTTTCTCCTGTCTCGGGTGTGGCCTTCTTAATTCGTTGCATTCCGTTGCTCGCCGATTAGCGTTTTCTCGTAATCTTTTGGCCTCAGGATGTTGGTGGTCGTCGGATTGCCTTCCCTCGATATTGTACCTGTGTGCAACTTCCCTTAATGGTTTTCACGGTCCCAATGTGTCACGATCCTTGCCGTCGCCTATATTGTTTTTGAACGCAAAACGCAAACAGCTTTGCATCCACTACCACGGGTGGGCCAACAAGTGGGACGAGTGGGTCGACGTTTCGCACGGCCGCGTTGCCCCCAGGGAGACGTACACCTCGAAGGCGGCATGGGGCAGGCGTAAGCACAACGGGAAGCAGCGCCTCTGACTCTTTCGTTTTTCTGTCAGTGCCATCTGCCACCGACTACCGTGAAGTTGACATAACGTATCACACACATCCCCTGGACGGATTATGATTGCTCGAATATATCTGCAGTAGAAACAGCGACTGTGCCGAAAGTGGCATCTTCGGAAATGTCTCTTGGAGGTCATTCCGACAACCCGTCGTTTAGCTTTGACATGTTTGCTCCATAGAATCGGTCCAGAGGGCGTGTGGTATCTTTTGGACCCTGCGGTTGCACACCGCTAAATGAGACGGGGAGTCGATTGGTTCCAAATCGTCGAACCGAACGATTGAGGGAGAATTCTGACGGCCTTCCTGAGTAGATTGATTCGTGGGACCTCGTCACTCGGGGAAGAGGCAGGATAGGGGGTGCAGCAACTTCTGTCGTGCTTCTGTGTTGCGCTTGGGTTGTGGCGGTACGGCGTGAGTGTAGGCCCGAGGCGGACCGTTCACCACATTCAGCGGGTCGAAGTCATCGCCTTGCCGTACCACGACACAGGCATGGAGTCTCTGATGTACCGCCCGAATATGATATTTTCAACGTGTAGGGGCGTACGCACGATGCGGGGCGGCGTTTGTTTCTTGTGTCTCGTTTGAAGACGGAGGTGCGGACCCGGGAAAGCTGGTGGGAAATGGATGGTTGGGGGGAACTCAAAAACGAAACTTTCACCCTGTGAAGTCGGCGTGACGTTGGGTGTCTGTCATATTTTTGTCCGTAGTCAACTGGAGCAGTTTTTCTTCCGTGTTCTCGTGTTGGCCTTTTCTGAAACGGGAACTCCATCACCTTTTTTGGTCGCATGCCTCGCCACTACAAGGGGATGAAAAGGGTCGTTCTCGAGATGGAGAGACATCTATCACGGAGGTAGAAAACCTGCAGGGATGCGCAGTCATGAAACGTCGGTCTGCGACGCGGGGGTGCACACAGAATGTGTGGCGGTGCGTTGGAGGTGATGGTGTGAAAGTTGGCGGAGAGTGGTTTGATGGTACCCGAGAGGGAAAGCGGGTGGCTAGATCCAAGCAGTAGGCGCCGTTGTTGGAGTGTCATCGTGGTCAATAGTGCAGGGCACCTGTCGAAGGCAAGCCGGAGCAAGATGAGATGGTGCGGCGAGAACGCGTCATATCTCACTTAAGCACAAGCCTGGATAGGTCCTTGTTTCGTGTATGGCGCACGCGACGGGCTTGGAGGACTCGATTTTGCCGGCATACTCTTTCCTCGAGTTCATGAAGAGGAAGGAACAGCAGTATCCTTGATTTCTGCAGACGTCGATACGCCGGAAGCTTGCAAACTACGCGACTGAGACCAGCTCCCTGCCCCTGCTCTTGTTCGTTGGTTTTGTGTTGGGTTGGGATTCTCCGGGAGGTGTCGACGTTGGTTATAGTGTTGTGGAGGTGAGGCGTCGGGCGGACGGTGTGACACGTGTGTGGTAGGTACAGCACTGCTGTACGTGTCACGAAGATTGCTCTCGAGTGGTGAAGCAGCTGTTGTGAAGTGACTCTTATCTTCAAGCACGTCCAATCTACAGGGCTATTTTTCCCTCCGTCGGGTGTTGAAAAACGCCACCATCGCGAGGTGCCAATAGAGCAGCCGAGCAAACGTGTCTGGCTATACAAGAAAAACCGAAGCTGCTCAATCATTGGCGTACCCGGCAGTCAGTGCTCATAGCGGGGTGCGAAGCCAAACCCTTCATCGGAGCCAAGACGATTTGCGTACAATATCCCGTAGGAGATTTTTCCGGCGCAAGAAATTAGCGGTGGGAAGCTTGGACAACGACACAAATATACATTCCGCAAGCCACTCGGACAGGCAGATCTTGTGGACATGAATCGACAAATAAGTCAACACCGATCCCACCTACTAGTGTAGTCTCAAGTACTATTTACTGCCGCGTCCCAATAGAACGCTTCACATCGTTCCCACTTGTTGCACAGCAAAACTCCCGAACGACGAGGGTATGACCAGAATCGTTTCTGCGTGCATATCCTAAATACCCAAACACTGCGTGTTTCTCTGCAGCACGAGTCCAAGGGCAGATTCCTCCGTAGTTTGCCAGGAGAAATCTGTAGTACATCTCGACTATTTTCGATATTTTCGTCTCACGCAATAGCTGCGACGCTTGGAAACAAGGTACCATGTCTCTTCATCCAAAACATCTACAGCAACTTCCGAAGCTCCCAATCTACATGGAACAAAAAAAACACGCAATTGTACACACATGTCTTGTCCTGCCTACGGCAGGAGTAGAACACGCGCAACCCCAACTCGTCAAAAAAAGACGCCTGTCTGGTCCTGGATCAGTCGTCTTTGACGTGATTGCTGCTGCCGCTGCTACAACTACCACCGCCTGTTGCAAGCCACTTTGACCGTATCACCAACGCCCACGCCAGGCATGGGAGGAACGGCGCGAACACTACCCAGGATCCCTCCACCGCTTCCACGTGCAAGAACTGTTGGCGTCGTCGACGTCGTCGTCGTCGTCGTTGGCGTTTTCACGAGGTTTTCCCGGGGGTTGATTCCGGGATTGATTCGGGGAGACCATCATGCGGTTTCCATTGTGTTAGGAGAAGGAAACAAAAAGCGCGCGCCGAGAAATAACACACAGAAAATGATCGATGGTGAAAGTCAGGGTCCCAAGCGTAGCGTCACCAATAAGCACGCTTGTGCGTGAGGAACGGGGCAGGTCATGAACTGCAACTCTGGAGGTTGCAAACAGGGAGTTTTCCTTATAGAACATAATACTTCGAAGTAATTCGACAAAAGGCTAAGCACCTCATTTCGGGCGCAAGCAAGACAAGTACCACACCAAGAAGAAACCAGCGAAACCGGATCGACACAATCTCCCAGAAAACATCCGAACCTATGGTAGGAGTGGCAGCAAGCAGCAAGGAGGGGCCGCTCTACAGATTGTTAAGCACAGCGCCACTTTGCATGTTTGATTTTTGTTTGTTTTTCTCCCATCATTGGATTTTGTCGTCTGCCCTTCTGGCCCCTATCCTCCACTTCTACCAGCTAGACGACCCAACCGGGGTCACATAGGAGGGAAGGGTTGGACTCCCTCCTGCGGTTCCTGCCTGAGATATTTTTATCGCGAGAAGGGTACAGCAATCCCTTCCCTCGCGATTTATGAAGTTGATCAAGTTTACTAACATGTGTACTTCCCTCGTCTCCGCCAGTGTGTGGATTTCGTCTGGTTGGTATGCCGGATGTGTTTCGGTGCAACCGGCCGTCATGCGAACTCGGGTGTGTGTGCTTTGATTAGTAGTATCGACAGCGCTAACCGGCTGACCAATGAAAAGACGTTTGTCAGTGCAAATTGAAAACACGAAAGACTGCTAAATGCCATTTATCCAGTCAGGGGAGGCATGGGGGAAACTAATCTGTTCAACGGAAGAACACTGCACACGTTTACGAAGGCTGCTACCTTGCACTCGAGCTCGTTTTGGAGTGCTTTCACCATCATCCTCCTTGCTTTAAACTCGGTTGTGTGAGAAACAGATAGACAGAGAGAGAGTAGTCTTGCGGACAACCATGTTCTGCAGCAGTGCAGAAGTGGCAATCCTGCCTACCATCGTGTGCTAGTCTAGACTATGCTGGGCGGAAACGAAGGAATCTGCTGCTACAAATGTCTACACTGCTGTAACGCCATCAGCAGGATGTGACAGACCCAAGGTAGTAGACGTATCGCTGGTTTTATCGCCCATAGCAAGAGAATAGCCTCCACCATAACTCAGTACTGCTGTGCTCAAGCTTCTGCACTGGTTGTGGTCGTTGTGTCTCGGCGTCTCTGTTCACTACCAATACAACAGCTGCGGTACTCCGGTCTTCCCCACGCACCTTATCCAATGCCAAGAGGACGACCAGTATCAACGAACACACAAGGTAAGAGCCAGCCACAAAGTTGTAGTTGATCCCAGGGGAAGGTGTCATGAAAGGGAGCGCCATTGCGGTGGTGGGATGTGTCCGCTGGGTGTGCGATAGCACCGTTACCCTGCACCCTGCACCAGCTCCGGTGAAGAAAATGCGGCACAATTAGAAACGTCGGGTTGTCTCAGCGACGAGGCGTGTATGAAAGAAGGGGAGAAAGCTGATTGGATATATTGCCTCTTTCGAGTGTCTACGTATCGTTTGTCATGGTTAGTCCTGCGGGCGGGCGGTGTGCTGAACACTGAAGAGAGGGCAGCCGTAAATATTACAATGCCCTTGCACCTCCGGGTGTGCCGATGGAACGATCGTTTCGTCTGTGCATATTATACCGAAAGACCATAGACTAGCTAGAGTCTTGTCGATGGGATCAACCACGAAAGATATCGGCATGATTCTTGACGGTGCTGCTGGAGGCATTGATGAGGGGTCTGGGCGGCTCCACTTGGATATGGCGCAAGAGGACCTCGATGAGGAGCTACGAACCCAACCGCTCCTCGACTCCGTGCGAAGCAAGTGGCTTGTTGCCGTTCTTCTTGTTACCCAAAAGAAAGTGCACATGCCGAAAGACCGATGATAAATGCCTGGTAGCCGCTGTTTGCCCCACAACAACGGATGAATCTCGCTCTGCCAACGGGCAGAATGGTCGTAAAACAGCAGTGATATTGCTTCGAGCAGTTTCCTTCAGCGCGATCAGAACCCGAAGCTCAAGCGTGGAGCGAATGGCACCACCAGTTCAACGACAACAGATGATCATCTTGTCGGTCGTTCTGTATTCTGTACCATAGTCTATGCGTGTGCCGACAACTCTTCGATACGCTTGCCTCTCCTTTTCCTTGAAGGCTTGGTCAACAAGGAGAGGCAACTCGCGGGTCTACAGCTGGAAGAAAAAGAACGGGAAGCTGAGCTGTGGAGGGACAGATTTAGGCAACTTCAGGCGAGCCCTTTCTTCGTTCACGTTTGGGACGAATGGGATGTACAGTAGTTCTCACGTTCAACAGAACAGTGATGATGGGGTGACATCGCCCGATTCTCCAAAAGCTATTGCCGTCGATATGTCCCCAGCCTGTGGCCTGAGTTTTTATCGTTGCCTTCCATGGAATCTTGATTGTGCACAAAGTTACCCCCATGGAGTCTATTTTTAAAGCACTAGGGCACAAAGTTACCCCGCCAAATTCATGAGGGCGGGTGATGATCATGTCCCCTCTCCATCAGATCGCATCGGGCGGCATTGATTCTGCTGCGCGTGAAGCCGGCGAGACTATCGCCACGGAAAGTTGGCATCGCGACGAGGAAGATAGTGACTGGTGAGATGACCAAATCAATCCAAAACACGTCTAGCGCAAAGCATTCAAAGGTGGTATCGCTTTGCGAAGCACGTTAGACACGGCTGCATGACGAGTTCAATAGTGTTGCTGAAAAAAACTGAACGCTTCTATTTCATCATTCATTTTGGTCGCGCAAAATATCGACGAAATACCACAAGCAGACCTAAGGGAACAAAGACCAAGTTTTTCAGAACACCGACGGTCTGGCAACAAGAACTCCGTTCGTCAACGGTGTTGGCAGGGACAACTTGCAAGCGGCCAGCAAGAAGGCAGGTGACCCCTATCTCGGAAAACTGAGGAGACAAGATAGCCTGGATCTTTCCCGGCGAGGTATTGGGAAAGAAGACCTGGAAGGTGAGGTCCGTAGACAATTCAGCAGCTATCGTGAGATATCGCACTCTGGATTTGCTGCCGAACATCCGAAGTCTCTGCCGATGTCGTCGTCCGTTCGTCGATTGCCGTGCTGACCAAAAGCTTGAAAAAGTTTTGTTCCTCACACACCAGTGTCGAACCTTAGCAGAAGATCGTTTCCCCTGCTTTGCCTCATGTTCCCTTCCGTACCGTGAACTGCCACGTTCCCGTGGTTTTCGTCTCGTCTGAAACACAACCGAAGGCATAGTAGTCAAACTTCGGTGGCTCCGAGGTTTTACATCGGTTGACCTCAGGGACAACAGCATTGACGACACCTGCGTGCAGCCGTTAAAGAGTCTGATGGCGCTCAGACAGTTGTGCAGCCTCGACCTCAGGGGAAACCAACTCGGTCCCTCCTCAGGCAATGCGTTGCTCGAGTCGCTGTCAAGGTGTAGACGCTTACAGGTAAGTGCATTGCATGAGGGGGTCTGCATGATTGTCGTCAGTGTGGATTGGGGTAGTGTACATATCCTGGTCTGTTGCACACATTACTCAACCGGCGATGCCTTGGTCACACCACCTTGCCGGTGAGCACTCGGCGCGTCTTTTTTCACAGCGGAAAACGCCCATCACACTCCCACGCTCTGCAAAGCTGCAAAATTAGACTCTCGTGCTTTTACTCCGGTCGACAACAGCGAGACAATAAAAGGGATGGTCCGACCATTTTCCTTTCCTCCGGTGCAATGCCTCGCCAGGTTCTTCGGCTGGAAGCGAACGGACTATTCGCCCGAACACCAGGGGCTGGAGCCCGCCTCGCGGCCGGGTTGAGAGCTGCCATCAAGGCCGGCGGCTGCAGACGTCTGTGGAGCCTAAGCGTGACCCTCGATGACTTCGACGGGAAATTCTTCATGAACGCGCCGCGAAAGACGAAGGCCGAAACTGCGGGTGGTGGCCCGAAAGCAACCGGGACAGGGCGCAGCCTCAGAAAGGCCGCCGGACCACCCCCTGCCGCGGGCCCGATGCCTGCGGCCCATCCGATGAATGCCCTGGCCCTTGCGCGCGCGTTTCACCCCCGGGCCCCGGATGGCGGCGCAGGGGCCTTCTTGAACGGAGACGGGGAAAGCGAGGCGAATTCTCGCGGAGTTCGTGGCAATACCAGAAGGGGTTCCGCTCGTGTTGGGAGGGGATCCATAACCTCGCTCGGACTGCCGTACGCGAGGCTGCACCCCAAAACGGTCGAGGAGCTTGCGGCACATGCAGTTTCCTCGTTAACCAGCTTGGATCTATCCTTCTGCTACATTGGGCCCGCAGGTGCGGTCACCCTTGCGCGTGCGTTAGACGGTGATGACGGCAGCAGTAGGAGAGGTAGTGGCACCCGCGGTCAGGGATCGCGCTCGCTCCGCTCGTTAAAGCTGCCGCACAACGCCGTCGGCGACACGGGGGCGCATGCGCTCGGCCGAAGCCTTTCGAACAACCGCTGCCTCACGTTCCTCTCGCTCGCGTCCAACGGCATCGGTCCCGCTGGGGCCCGTGCGCTGGCTGCGGCTGTCGGCTCTCGCGGCAACGACGGCGGTGGCAGCGTCCTAACGAGGCTAGACATGGGAGACAACCCTCTAGAGGGCGAAGCGGCAAGGCTCCTCGTCGCCGCTGCTACATGTGATGCCCCCACCAAAGGGCACGGTGGTACGGACGGTGACGGTACTACACGTGGCACGACGACTTTGCAGGTCTTAGGGCTTGACAGAGCCCTCGGAACTGCTGTCGCCACGAGGGAAGCCGCCCGTCGCGCCGCTTCAACTGCCGCAGCGTGTGAGGCAGCGACGACGACTACCCTGGTGACCATTGGCAACGAGGTGTCTGTGCAACCAGAGGATGCCATCGGCAATGACGGACTTGTACAGGTGGGGACGCGTGTCAACACGATGGTACACAACTGAGCGTCAGCTGCATGGGTCCAGGAAAAGTGGAAACTTGCTTTTTTGCCACCGTCCGATTTCTGTGTCTTTCGTTGACACGTTCGGCAAGAACCACAATATTGTCGTGCCCAGTTCTCACCCCGGCATGGTTCTTCCGTGCGTGTGTTTTGCTTGATGTGATTTGCTTAGGTATACCAGGTTCTGCTTGATTCTCGATTCGAAACGCCTGCTGATGAGATTTTCACTATCCGAGGCGGTGCTAGGGGGCGAGGTGCAACGCTTGAAATCCAGTGGAGCTTTGCGACAGACTGGCTCGATCCGTGCTGGTGGCGAGTATCCCAGACAAGAGAGGGACGTCCTGAGTTCTCTGTGAAAGAAGGAGTTGGCTCGGAAGAGGGGTGGGTATCCGGACAGGCAAATAACGACGGCGCCGAGATGAGAGACGGATACAGGTGCCAGAGGCTAGGGGCACGAAGTACGCAAGAATAAATATTGTGCACGGCGTTTGAATAGGGTACGGGAAGCCTGTTGCGTTATCACACATTTGAACATGCAGAAAACAATGGTCTGCCAGGAGCCCAAAGCAGTGCATCCCACCCGCAAGGCCGATCATTGCTCATCTTGACTGTAGCGAAAAGAAGAAGCCAGCTTTGGCCTGAGGTTACTCAATTCAATAGCGGGTTGGGTTGCTTTCATACAAGTGTTTCATGTGCGTAGCGTATATCTCGTTTTTCGAGGGAAGCGGGACAAACATCCGCTTAACGTATGGCCTTGCCGTTCTGCGAAACAATACTGCTTGCGGCGCCTGTCACAGCCGCATCCGACTTCGGTGCAACGGGTGGAGAAAACATGACATTCTAAAGGTTTTCGTCCGGCCTCCGACCGGCAGCGGCGGTGGGCGCATGAGGTGCTGTGATCTCGCCATTGGCTTGGCGGACGGAATACCGCCATTGCTTTCGTCGGAACACTACGGCTTGTTGTGGGCCGATCCGGAGAGCGTAGAAGGAGACATCGAGACAGCGGGAGGCTGGCAGGGAGAGGATGTGAGCCACCTGTAGAATACCGAGTGAACAGAACAGCGTTTGGATATCCACTATCTTCGCCATCTAGCGTGCTGAGTGCGATCGTTTTGCCGAGTCATAAATTTTCCCAGCCAATTATTTGCCAAGATATAGCTGTGCGAAGTGAAAGGTATTGGCGGCTTTCAATGAGCCCCGAACTCAAATTACCGACGGAGGCAGTTTCAGGGGAAAGTGTACCCTCAGCGTGTAATATCCTGCATGGACGCGACCGTGTCGTGTGTTAGGAAACGACCAAAATGACTAAAACCTTTCATGCTACAACAGGTAACGTGCATGCATATCAAAACACCCGGAACAAGCACGTATTATTACTTCGTCGCGCCGGCCCCTTCGCCTCTCCCCGCTTTCCGTCCGATTGTTTGTGCTAACCCCGTGTGCAGCGCCCACAATCCCCTAGCGTCGCGGAATGCGCTAATGTGGAATTCCATATGTCCAACAGCAACAAACCACGCCCAGAGGTGGAACGGGCCGTGCCACGACCTCCGTCAGAAAAGGGCGGGAGCAACGTTTTTTGCGGCAACGGCGGCAGGGCGGGTGTGATGCATCGACTTCGACACATTCACGTGGCACGGGGTGGGCGCATTCACGCCTCCTGGCGGGCGGTACTCACCGTGTCCCCGCTTCAAGACCTCGACCAGGGTGCGTCCTTGGGCGTCCATCACGGCCGTGGGGGGGAGTTCCAAAGATCGTCATGCAAAGGGTACTCGTGGGCGATAGTGCGGACCCGTGGAATGGCCGCTGGTGACGGGAGAGGAGGCAAGGGAGCGTCCTGTGTAGTCAAGCAAGGTACGGTGCCAGACCGTTCGGCCCATCGCGCTTGTCATGGTAGCGGCAGCGTAAGACTGACCGACACGGACGAAGAGGGAGACCACCACAACAGCAGCAAGGCCGATATCGCCTCGGTAAGCGATGCTTTTCCTTCGACAACGTCTCCCTGGCGTTGGGAACATTTCGAGGTGGATACCGTTGGTTGGCTTCCGGGGGACTTGCTCAGTTTGTGGATACGGTTCGATGATTCCCCACCGCCCTCCCCCACTCGCCTTGCTACGGACGGTGGGTGGCACGGCCGGGGAGCAAAACCGGCAGTATCAAGAGAACCAGGACAAGGAGACAAATCAAGGCGTGATTGCCCGCCTTCTCATCGTCCGCTTGTGAGAGCATTTGAATTGACAGTCATAGATGACGCGCGTGAGGAGGAGATCATCCGCCGTGCCTGTTACTTTCCTCGTCACAGTCATCGCCTCGCCACCGTGGGCGAGGTGGCAACTGAATGCTTTCATGCCCCGAATTTTCCCCTGCATGCGCCTAGTTCCGGCGTTGCCGCAGTGCGGCTTGATTTTGCAGCGGTTAGTCCGATGAATATCGCCGCGGCGGGTGGTTCATGGGCGTAGGGGGGGGG